AAACCATCAGTTGCTCACTTCAGAATCTTTGGATGTCCTTGCACCCTTCTTCACCTCGAACCCACCCCCAAGTTCAACTCAAAGGCCGATGACTGTTATTTTGTGGGATATGCTGCATGCACCGCTTACCGAGTGTACAACAAAACCACCAAGAAGATTGTGGAATCCTTTGACTGGTTATTTGATTATGCATCATTGTTTACATCCTTTAATGTGTATTCAGAAAATGTTTCAGATTCCTGCTCATGTACAAGTGCAGTTGTTGAAGATGAAGAGGAAGATGTTGTATACAGACCACCCCTGGTGACTCCCGCGTCTCCTACAGTGGATGAAGCTGCTCCAAGTACTTCCTTGAGTTCTCCAAGTCAAAGAATCAGTTCTGATGTTGAAGCCACTCCCATTACTCCTGCAGAAAGAGAAGTCATGACAAGAGATTCTTCCGGTGCCACTCAATCATTTATGGAGCTTCTCTTTCCTGAACCTATTTCAAATTAGTATGTGGCAAGTACCTCTCACGGACCTAGATTGTCTGAGGCGGGTGATTCAGTAAAAGATCGATTACTGAACATCAACAATCTTCCCGTCTCAATCGATGACTTCAGCCATGAAATCCCAACAAGAACTCAACATGATCATCCGATCGAAAATGTCATTGGTCCAATGGCCGACGGAGTTAAAACGAGAAGTCAAAGTGGAGATGTCAATTCATGTCTCTACTCTTGCTTCATATCTCAGATCGAGCCCAAGAGTGTTGCCATGGATTTAAACAAACCAAGCTAGGTAGATGTAACGCATGAAGACCTAAATCAATTTGAAAAATTGGGAGTTTGGAAGCTGGTTGAGTTACCGAAAGGCAAGAAATCTTTGGACACGCGTTGGGTTTTCAGAAATAAGCAAGATGATTGCGGGGTGATTATGCGCAATAAAGCTCGATTGGTCGTTCGTGGATTTATGCAAATAGAGGGTCTTGACTACACAGAAGTATATGCTCTGGTAGCTCGTTTGGATGCCATTCATATATTCCTAGCATACGCTTCATACATGGGCTTTATAGTTTGTCAAATGGATGTCAAGACAGCCTTCTTGTACGGTGCTGTGAAAGAGGAAATTTATGTTGATCAACCTCCAGGGTTTGCAAATTCAAAGTTTCCAAATCATGTTTACAAGCTGGACAAGGCTCTATATGGCTTACATCAGGCTCCCAGAGCTTGGTATGCAACCCTCATGGATCATTTGCTTGTGCACAGATATACACGGGGAACGATCAATCAGATGTTATTCATCAAGAATGTGGATGCAGACTTGATCATTGTACAGATCTACGTTGACGATATCATTTTCAGGTCCACAAGCACATAGCTATGCAAAGAGTTCGAGGCTGTTATGAAGAAAAGTTTTTAGATGAGCTCGCTGGGAGAAATGACCATGTTATTGGGGTTACAAGTTCGACAAGATTCAGTTGGAATCTTATTACATTAAGGCAAATATGTCGAAGACATGCTCGAAAAGTTTGGTTTTAAAGACTCAAAAATTGCTTTGACTCCAATGGCTGAAAGACCGCTGCTGACTCCGGATCCAGATGGGGAATCTGTTGATCAAACAGAATACCGCTCGATGATTGGTTCTCTGATGTACCTGACTGCAAGCAGACCTGATATCATGTTTGCTGTCTGTCAATGCGCTCATTATCAGGCTAATACTAAACTTTCTCATTTAATTGTTGTTAAAAAGATTTTTAGGAATCTTAAAGGTAGCCCTAAACTGGGTCTTTGGTACCCTAAAAATCCGATTTCTATTTATATGCATTTGCTGACAGCAATTATGGAGGCTGTGATCTTGATAGGAAATCAACATCGGGTGGTTGCCAATTTTGAGGAGAACGGTTGGTGTCATGGCAATGTAAGAAACAACAAACCGTGTCAACCTTAACAGCTGAGGATGAATACGTTGCTGCCTCAGCTTGTTGTTCTCAAGTTATCTGGATCCAACATCAACTGCAAGATTATGGTTTAAATTTTCTTGACACTCCCATCTTCTGTGATAATGATGCCGCCATCCAAATTGCTAAAAATCCAGTCCAACATTCCAAAACCAAGCACATCGATATACAAGTTCATTTTATTCGAGACTGTTATGAGCGTTCACTCATTCGTTTGGAACAAATCCACACTGATAATAATGTGGCGTATTTGTTTACCAAACCATTCAGTAAAGCTCGATTCGATGTGCTTGTGAGCTTTCTAAAAATGATCCGTTTTGAAGACTATTTTTTTTAACTTAGTTTAAATTTGCGCATTTTACTTTTATTTTCATTTATTTTCTCTCCTATGGACAAATTTAGGGGGAGAAATCAAAATACAAAAATTATAAAACAAAAATCCAAAAAAAATGCTCTTATGGTTTTATTTTGTAGGTGATCATTTGGGAAGTGATATCAAGATTGAGTGATAAAGGGAAGTCTAAAGAAGTGTAAGGTACTGAATCTGAATTGTTTAGACTATGTGTTAAATGTGCGGGTGGGCACGAAGGATTCAAAAGGACTAGACATAGATTGACAATGAAAGGGCTTGACAGTATGGAGTTAGATAGTTCTATTTGGACTAACAATATGACGCTCGGGTAGATTGAGCAGTGAGATAAACATGGGAACCTGTAGGATACACTAAAAGTCATAAGTATCTAGAGCTGTGGTTTAACATTTCCTTGATGTATGGTCTCATGACCTTAATTCTGGCACTGATAGGGTAACTGGGGGATTATGATAAAGTAGGTCTATAGAAAATTGTTTTCTTGCTTTCTATCTGTCAGTCATATGTTGCCTCCTTTACGTGATTGGAACATATCCGACTTGGAATGCAACATATGCAACTCTGTTTCTATGCACCTTCTTATCTATGTATTTCTTTATGTCTGTTAGTCATATGATGTCTCCTTTGCGTGATTGAAACAATCCGACCTGGAACACAGCATATGCATCCTTCTATCTCTCAACCCCTCTATCTGTGTTAGCCACATGTTGTCCCCTCTACGTGATTGGAAGAGATCCAACCTGGGGCACAACATATGCACTTCTAAATCTATCTTCTCTCCTAATAACTATCTACTCATCTAAAGTAAGGAATTCTTTGGAAGCACTTGATTGCCAGGGTATATCAGGAAGTGGGAAACACATTCTAGTTCATCTAAAATTGAATCATTTAATAGGTTGTCTGTAGATCTTGCTGCTGAATTTAAGTGGACAACAATTCCCTTGGTCGTCGTCAGCTAAATGGTCCATTTAGGAATTTAGATGCAATGACTTATTATTTATTTTCTGTCAAAATTATCAAAAATCCTTCGTGTTTAAGCGGACCACAATACTGGCAATTGAGCAAATCTATTCATGAATGTGAAGGTATTGAAAAACAAGTTAAGACTGTGTCAGAACTTATGATCCCAAAATGTTAAAATTCTTAATTTTCGAGGAGTAGTTAGAGTTATTCTATTTTTATTTTGATTTTTATTTTACTTTATTTTTATCTTCTAAAAATTTTAAAAAAAATTAGTTTGCATTTAAATTTTAGAATTTATTTTATTTTTAATTTTAAGTCTTCAAAATGGTTTTATTTTAAATTAGAATGGATTTGTTAGGTTTGGACTAATAATTTTGGTTTAAGCCCATCGAATATTGGGTTTTGGGTCGAGATTAATTAGGGTATAAAAATGAATGCATTTGCGGTCGAAAACCACATTTCATTGTTTCCAGCCGCACACACTCTTTTCATTCTCTCTCTCTCTCTCTCTCTCTCTCTCTCTCTCTCTCTCTCTCTCTCTCTCTCTCTCTCTCTCTCTCTCTCTCTCTCTCTCTCTCTCTCTCTCCTGTTCATCGCGTTTTCTGTCCATCTTTTCATCGATTCATCATTTTCTGCGGATATAATAAGAAATTGATCCTCGATTGTTCAAGGTATACTGACTGCGATACCTATACATACATTTTTCACTCGATTCGACTTTGTTTTGCAGGTTTTAAGGGAAAAAGCGTGATTCAGACAGTGTTCTTCGTCAAAACTGGAAAAGGAACCGTTTGCGATCGAAAACACTTTTGCGGCCGAAAACCCATTTGCGGCCGAAAACTTGTTTGCGGCCAAAAACCCATATATAAGTGATTTTTGGATTTTGGTGTAGCGTTTTCGGCCAAAACCCTTAATCAACTTATAATTTGGTTCAAATCAATTAAACAAATCAAATTGGGGCCTAATCAAATTAAAATTGAGATAATTGATCTAAAGTGTTTAATTTTTTTTATTTTTTCACTTGGCACGTTTGATGCAGAACTAAAATTCTCCGAAAATCACAACATTGTTGCATGCTTGTCTGATCCTCCACTGGCTCATCAAGAGTTTAAGTTCATGGTTCATGGACTTAACAACTGCAGACTTGCTCACGCTTTTCAATCAAATCCCATTATTTATCAGGAGTTAGTGAGGCAATTTTGGGACAAAGCTTCCATTAACAAAGAAGGAGCATATGGAGAAGGTACAGTGGAATGAACCATCCAAGTGAGAAAATTTGTTGTGTCTGAGCAGGTTATCCGAGAAGTGCTTCAATTTGGGGACCAGCCAGGGTTCCCAACTGAAATTTCAGTTGATCAGATCAAGGAGGTTCTTGATAGAATGTGTTATGAAGGAACTTTTCCTCCAACTATGAAGATGCTACTTCCTTCGTACTGGCGTCTTCTTGCCCACTCTTTTGTTATATGCATCTCTGGCAGGAAAGGAGGTGCGGATGAGATCTCTTTGTTTAATACCGGCGCCATTGTTGCTCTAGTCATGGACTTTGATTTCAATTTTTCAAAGTTTGTGTTAAATGAAATCAAGAACAATTTACTGGGGAATAGGAAGGACATATTTTTAATGTATCCAAGGTTTCTTCAACTAATATTAAATGATCTATATCCAGATTTGGAAAGAAGAGGTGATACTTTGGATTTGAAGTCCTTGGGTCCAATCACTTTTGGGCTAATGAAGCAGAACCGTAAAATTTCAAAGGTTATATTTAAGGGAGAAAGTCCTTTGGTAAAGGTTGGTTGCTTTGCTGAAATAGATGAAGCCTCCGATCCTGAATATGACACTATTCCTCCTGTAGCAATTGTTGCAGAGGAACATGTGCCTGTGCTTGATGTGGAAGATGACAATGATGATGAGGAAGATAATGATGAGGATGATAATGATGATGATGAAGATGATGATGATGAAAATGATGGTGATGAAGGAGTTGAGATTATACAAGGGGGTGATACACTAGGCTTTAATGATGATGACTTCTTCTTTGATTTCGAGCCGAATAATGATGACCTCAGTTTGTTCTTTGACGATTTCAATGATGTTGGGATCTCTCCAACTGAGACAGAGGGAGACCCTAATATTCTCAAGGTGCCTTTTCAAACACCCGATCAGATGGCCGACATAATTGCTAAACCTGATTCAACTGCAAGGATTCCTCCCCAAGCAGTTGCAACTCCAACCATCATTCCATCTGAAAGTGATCTACAAGAGACACAAGCCTCCCAGCCTCCACTTAAAAGAAGAAGAGCAGATCCAAGGCTGGAAGTGCTCATTAGGGAACAAGTTCAGTCTGTTCAACAATCAACTGCAACCGTTAGACCAACCCAACCAACTCATGTGGATAGTCAAGTATTGAATGAAGGGCCCAGTGGTGTTCGTTCTGCTTTTGAAGTCGGGATTTCTTCAGCTCCTGGTGGTTCATCGACTCCTCAACCTACACACGATGTAGCCTTCGAACGGCTTGCCAGGTTTTTGGCTCGTCAAGGTGTTGATCCTGCACCCAGGGGAAAAGGAATATCGATTGGTGCAGGGAGCCCAGATAAAGAAGATTCAACAATTTTTGAGCTCAAGGAAGAGATTGGAATCTTAAATCAAAAGCTCATTGAAAAAGATGTTTTCAAAACATCAGTCACTGAACCCAATGAAGCTGAGACTTCCCAAAGTGCCCATGCCCAAGCAACTCAAGATTCACAAGATGTTCCTCAACATAGCAGTACATCTCGAATAGTTGACCGATTTGAAAAAGAACCTGTCTATGCTGATCACAGAGTTACATTAAAGCGAGCTCAGAAGCAAGTCTCTACTGAAAGAAAAGGGAGATTGCTCTTCATGAAGAATTCTGATAAAAATGTTCGTGGAGATCAACCCCAAGTGAGTGTGACTGAGCTCAGGAAAAAGCGGTTCAAAATTAAGTATGGAGACCGGTCGAGAATTACAATGTGGGGATTTCATGATAGAAAGAATATGTGGATGGTCAAAAGGAAGAGTGGAAATGTGGAGTATTATCAGCACAAGAATGATTTCTGTTCTTGGACGAAAGTAGATCTTGCTGAACTTGCTGAGGCTCCTTTCCACAATCCATCGAATGACCCTCGAGGTACTGATTTCAAACTCTTTTTGGAGAACCAAGTAAAGAGGAAGTTCGATGGAATGAGGAGCGCATAATCTTTTGTCAAGAAAGTTAAAGATGTGTTTGATCCCAAAAACCACCAGACTATAAAAAATGTGATGTGGCCTCCTACCAAACAAATGAATGAAATTCCTATTGTTCAGCAGTTTCGTGATGGGTCTCTGCACGATATGGAATATTGGGTTTATGATGAGGCCACAACCACTGTAGTTATCAAATTCCCAACCGGTGTCTTTCGTGTTGTTTAAGCGAAGGATCTCTCATATTTTGGCACAACATCAAATCGTGGTCAAGAATGATATTCTGGAGTCTGCTGCAAAAGAATTTACTGGTATGGTCGCAGAGATAATCAAAAAGAAGATGTGGTCAGGGGCTATGGGGAGATCTGATGTGCTGCTCATTGAAAAGGATTGAATTCATGCTAGCTTCAAACCAAGGGGGAGATTGTTAGGACATGTTTTGTTGGTTTGAGCTAGGCATTTATGTTTTGTAGACTTTATTACTCCTATAATGTTTCCGGTTGTAATCTGTTTGCTGCTACTGTTCCCTATAAATAGTGTCATAGGATGTTAGTTGATAGCTAGCTGTTTTCGGTCTTAAGTGTGTGTTTTGCATCCATTGTACCTGACGATTGTTTCAATTGAAATCGTGTGCATTTGGATTGATCTTGCCTCTACTCCTTCTTGTTTTTATCATTTTTGGCTTGTTCATCTTGTTGATCACTAGTTGGTTCTTAGTTTTGGGGACTTACAGGTCGAGGTAAAGTTAAATAGTCACTTAAATAGGTTTGTGAATCTTGGTGTCAAAGGTTAGAAATCCCTTACCAAAAATGATATTTTAGGCGTAAGCATTTACTTATTATTTATTTTTGTTTATTTTTAAATTTTTGTGTATTAAGAATTTTTGACAGATTACACCACATGTTGTATCTTTGGCTAAAACAACGGATAAGAAGATCCTTGATAGCCAGCCATTCAGGTATAAAAAGTTGATATTTTGTTTGATTTTTTTATTATTATTTTTTTGTCATGTTAATTACTTAGTAATTATGTAAATTTTATCAAAACTTGGACTCTGATTTTCAGGACGGCGTCGAGATTTTTACCTTTTGTAATTAGTAATCACATTCCCTTGACACCATATTGATAGATATGAAACCCGAGAATTACAAATACATTTCTTATATTATATTCCTTTGACAACATAATGACTTTTCCCTTTTGTAATTGGTACCTTGAAATTTGTTTTCTTACTGCTAAGTAACTCAGGACCTAAACAAACAAAAAATATTTATCTTTTTGAGTAGTAATGAATTACTAGTAGTGCCATTTGCTCTATATTTATCACTAATTAATTTTAATTTTTATATATGGTTAGTTGCAGGTTAGACATAAATTACCGGCATGATGTGGCATAGGATAACGGGTTCTTTTTTACAGTCACTGTCAATGTGAAAAATATATGTATTTTGCTGTTTGGAGAAATTCATTCTACAAGTACTTAATTCTCCTTTCATCATATATGTTTAGTGTACATGTATTAACATTAGAGGGTTGATTGTCATGTGTTATTAAATCATTTCTGTCTATTATAGGACCACAGTAAGAAAGCAACATACGATTGGATTTTAACAATTGGGAACATTGGAATGTTCATGCCCAGTTGTGACTTCTTGCATATATGTGATTTAGCTAAGGTTTTATAAGGCCATTAAGAAATTTAGGAGTTGTGGACAATTGGACATATCAGGAGTAAGTTGAAATATTATATTGAGAGTTGTGAAACTCAAATAGAACACTCAGTGATTTAGACAATTAAAAATTTAGACAAAAAAACTTATATCTTATTAATTTAATAAAATTTTATATATCTTTTGATTTTTAATTATCAATATTATTTTTCTTTCTTACCCGTGGTTTCCACTGCACAATACATTTTGCATTAAATCCTTTTTTATCAATATTCAAGAAATAATAGCGTAAAAAAATTGATTGTGTATTATAGCAATGTATTGTGAAATATACCCAATTATAGCATCATACTTGTGTCTCTACAAATGTCTTCTAATGTCAATGCCTTTGGGGCTGTTGTGGTGATTGCTTCTTAATTCCTAGTCAGTTTCATTGTTAAAGTGTTGGTTGGTGCTAATGCATTTAAGAGTGGGTTGCTAAAGTTTGTTGCATCTTTTTAGGTTCTCAAGTTATTTAGTCATGGATTACTTAAGACTCAAATTGAATCATAATTTTTCTTATTATGTGGAGACTCCCCGTGAGTGTGTGATTGTGATTTTGAAACTCTGAAGGGTACTTCGAAAGTATGGGTAGGTGGGGTAAGAGGATGGCCAGAGTCAGCTAGAATGTCTTTGGTTCGTTCCTGTTGAGAGGAAGAACCGACTTTGGTTCTCTTTCTGGTTTTGGGCTTTGAGGGAGAAGTCTTACGTTTGGAAGACTTCTTTTTCTTACCACCGGATGGAACAGACTTGGCCACGTCCGAGATAGGCTCAATGGAGACAGGGGTGGATTGTATAGGGCTATACACAATCAAAGTCACCATATGTTGTTTCAAGTGAATGGACTCGGAGGGAAGGGTGGCGAGCATATGTTCCGACAATCGCCTAATGGGTCCGAAAGATGTTTGGTCCGGAAGACGATAAGACTTGATAGTTTTAAAAAATAAGAAATACCTGTTTAGGAATCGTATCCACATAAATTGGTTCTCTCCTTTCACGGTACAATTGTTGGATGGTCAGAGCCCAAAATCTCAGAATCGAAATCTCGTGAGGCTTGCGATTGATGGCAAACTTCCAAAAGTCTTGCCATAAGACTTCCGTGAGATCTACAATGTTGTTCTTCCCAGAGAAAATACTGTACACAACATAAAGCCAATCTTTGCTGAGAGTGTCTGTACCTCCATGCTTCCCAGACAGACCTCTAAGAATGAAATGCATGAGGATTGTCCAAAGGCCTGGAACAACAGATTTCTTGAACTTCTTCGCCTTAAACTCTTCAATATACCTAATGTGATTAAGAAACATCTGGAACTCTTCAGCAGATGGTTCTTGGACCTTGAAGCCTTTAGGGTTTTCCGGGATTCCAATCGCTTTCAAGAACGTGGACTTGTGAATAGGCATAATGTGATCACCAGTTATTCTGGTTTCAAGAACATCATCCTCGAGCTTGATTCGATCAAAAGCGTTGTGAAGAAGACGAAGGGGAATCAGTGGGTCTGGAACTTTGGTAAGTGGAAAAGAGATAGGATGATGAGCGATGAACTCGATCATTACCCGAATGGACTCGTCGTAGTCCATGTGGTCCAGAGAAAAGAGCTGGGTTGTATCTCTGGGGAAGGGTTCAGTCGAGAGACGATGCAGACCCTTTGGCAGACTTCTTCTTTGGAGAGGATTTGGAAGCTTTGGGAACAGATTGAGAGGAAGCCAGTGTTGCAGGTTTTGAAGCTTGAAGAATACTTTAGCAGAGAGAGAGAGAAAGATGAGGGTTTTGGGAGCGTAACGGGTAAAAAGGGTTTTGGGGTTCTTTTATAGGTTTAGGGAAGGATGGGTCGGGTTAGAAAAGTAATGATGAAACCCGAATTTGGAAACGGATTTCATTAATTGTGTTACCAATTTTGGATTGAGTTGACCTGCAACGAGTAAAGTAACCACTGACAGTACGTGTAAAATGGAAACCATCACACGACTGATGGGATGTTTGACAAACACCCCCTCCATTTAAAGAACGAGAAGCTTCCAAAAAACCACCACTGACACCATAAACGAGTTTAATTAAACGAACCCATAGAGAATTAGGATAAGAAAAAAACCTCCACTTCCACTTGTATAGAAGACCGAAATTAAGCTAGTCCAAACTACCGACATCAAGACCACCATTAGAACGAGAATTAAGAATAATATCCAAACTAACCCAATGAAGACGATGTTGCCTGTCTTCGAAACCCCAAAAAAGACGAGACCTAAGGGTCGCAAGAAAGTGATAGATAGTAGCAGGAATGCAGAAAAGAGAGAGGAAATAGATACTAATGCTTCCTAAAACAGACTTGGAAAGAGTCAACCGACCTCCAAGAGAAAGAAGTTTCAGTTTCCAAGACGACAACCTCTTCTTAAAGCGATCCACAATCGCCTGTCAACCCTTAACACGCACCATAGAATCAACAATCGGGATCCCGAGATACAAAAAAGAAAATGAACACGGATGACAACCAGTAAAAGAAACTAAATTACCAACCTCATCGCTACTAACTCTAACCCCATATAAATTAGATTTAAGGAAGTTAATCCTTAAACCTGAAATCAAGTAAAAGCACCTCATAATATGAACAAGATTACAAACGTTTTTTTCATCCCATTCTCCCAAGACCAATGCATCATTGGCATAAAATGAATGAGAAATATGAATGTAATTACAATTTAAAGGCACACCTCGAAACACTCCCTGCGCTACCACATCCTCCATAGCAACGTGAAGACCCTCCATTGCAATAATAAAAAGAAAAGGGGATAAAGGATCCCCTTGGCGCAAGCCCCTGAACAGCTGGAACTCTTCTATAGGACTACCATTTAACAAAACCGGAGATCTAGCATTAGAGAACATAGCCATAATCCAAGATCTCCACATTTCTCCAAAACCCATGTATAATAAAAATCTATCCAAATAATCCCAAGAAACAGAATCATACGTTTTTTCAAAATCAACCTTAAGGATCATTAGTTTCTTCTTTCTTTTCTTAAAGCACTGAGTCAATTCATTCACAGTAAGGGGACCATCTAAAATCTGTCTCCCCTTAAGAAAGGCAGATTGTTCTAAACCAATGACATCTTGAATCACATGAGCGAGCCTATTAGCTAAAAGTTTAGCAATGACCTTGAACTGTATGCCAATAAGGCTAATATGGCGATAATCAGAAATTAACATGGGATTAGTGACTTTCGGTATAAGAGTAATGAAAGAGGAATTGCACCCGATAGGGAAATAAGTTCTAGCAAAAAATTCTTGGAAAAATGCTATAACATCATTACCCAGCAATCCCCAAAAATGTCTAATGAAGCGAAAAGTGAATTCGTCTGGATCCGGAGCACGATCCAAACCACAATCCCACACCGCATTTTTGATTTGGCTGCATAATATTAATAAAAACTTTTATGAATATACTAGGCTCAGTAATCCATTCCCTGTCCAAAGAAATACCTCTTATCAACTTATGTCGTCTTCGTTGTTTTAATAAACCATGAAAAAAACGAGAATTCTCAACCCCCTCTACAGACCAAGTAACCTTCGATTTTTATGCAACGTCCAACGACTTTATTTTTTCTAACTTGGCGATGTCACATAGGATACCTAACCGTTCTGCTATGACATCATCATTGTAAATATCAACATCAATACCCTTATCAATCTCTTTCAACCGCAACAACAACTGAGAATGAACAACCTCAGATTGAGACTTGGACGCCAAAATCCAACTCCTTATTTTGGATTAAAAAATTTTCAATTTTGTTTTTAAATAAAATAAATTCACTCTAACCTGGGTTAATCACAAATTCTAAAGCAGCCCCAAAAAAACATCATCAAATCCTTCTATATGCAACCAGGAGTTGAAGAACTTAAAAGAAGAAGGGCCATAATCAACCGGATTAGAATGCAACAATATAGGATAATGGTCATACCATTTCCTATCTGAACCATCAATTTGAAAGTTTTCAAAAACCTAAAAAAATTCTTCTGAAACTAAAAAACGGTCAAGCTTGCTTAATTTAGCACCAATAGTATCAATTCTCGTAAACCTTTTACCAATCATAGGCACATCAACAACTCCGAGATTATCAAGAAGATCATTGAAAGAGTTGGCAGCGATTGGGCAAAAAACTAAGCCAAGTCTTTCAGAAGCTTCCCTAACCACATTAAAATCGCAAAAAGACATAATTACCCCTATTTCTTCGAAAAAAAGAAAGAAGATAGTCCCATAACTCCTGTTTCCCCGCAAGATCCTATGGAGCATAAATATTAACCATAAATCAATTAAATTAAACTGAACCCATAATCCTTCAATAACTACAACAATATTCGTATACAACACTCTTCTTTTTACAAAGATATTCGGGTCCCAAATAGACAAAAGACCTCCAGAACGACTAAAAGCACAACTACTAGAAAAGTGAAAGTTGTAGTTGCCCAACATACTATGAATTTTGAATAAATCAACTTTCGTCATTCGTATTTCCTGAAGACCCAAAAAAGACACCTATTCTGAATACATAAAGACTTAACCCAACTTCTTTTTAAGAAAGTATGGGTACCACAAATATTCAACGAGAGTCAATTCATTGGTCCACTTGGATCATACCCAATATTGGAAAAAATCTTCTTAAACATATCCTTATTGCCATCCATATCATAGCCAAGTATACTACCCATTTCATATATTGCTTCAAAATATCATCGATATCACCAACATCAACTGGAACACGTTTCTTCACAAATATAGAGGAGCCATTAGTACTAGATGACATGGCATTAAACGTCATGCCATCCCCTAACATCAACATGAGAATCACGTCGAAACCTCAGAGGTTGAAAAATATATTCTGACTGAGTAACATCCTGAAAACCCACTGTCGGTGAGACAATAGTACATATGGTTGCGCCGGTGGCTCACCAGGAATAGACCGTGAGGCAACAACTACACAAACCACTTCTTCAAAATTTAAGTCATCAACAAGATTAGGAGATGTGGGAGGCTTCAATTAAGATCCAATGTTGTTATCATTTACGTGAGTGGAGGACTTATGATCTGACTTAACGCCTTTGACACCATTAGTAGGATAAAACCTTCCTTTTCTATCAACAAATCCAGCTCCTCTTTCACCATTTTCATATCATTGACACCATCTCACTTGAATCATAAATTTCCTCTTCTTCTCTTCCTAACTCAATTTTGTTAGGTTCTTCATTATAGGCATTATCAAAATAGTCATCATCTTCTGAATCACCCGAAAAACTTTGAATTTCCTGACCAAGATTAGCTCCTTTCTCCAAGATATCAGGCTCCGAGTTTGACAATTCACGTGCAACGACCGCATATTCAATTCCATGCGCAACGAACTTTATTTTTTCACGAATCAGAGAAGGCTTTACTGTCTTGATACACACTCGTTGAATATCCAAGGGGGCTTCATCATCCTCTTCTAAAAAACACACATCGCCCCAAGTTTTTGCAATCTTCGATACTGCTGCATCATTCCATGGACAACATGGAAACCCCAACAATTCTAACCATATTACCCTTTCTCGTATAAAAAAACCATTCACAACCGGTCTAAAGGTGGAAAAAAAGAATGAATACCAGAAGCCTTTGTGAATTTAGTACAAGCCCCCATTGCATCAAATGAGACCAACACCCAATCACCCCGACATAGCGAATCTGTACATCTTAAAATCTTTCTTCCCGTAACAAGACCACAAGTTTTCGAATTAATCAAAAACTAATTTTAAGTATGTCGCCATATATTTCTTGATCATTTTATGTTCTATGTTCCTATATATTTCGTTATCATATTATGTTTTATGTTGCTATATTTGAAGTATTTAGTCATGAAATATTAGTGGTTATATAGACTAATATTCGCACATAGTCTATTATCGTGAAGTGTGATACATACGCTACTAGTATATACTAATATTTTTATGAAAAGTTTAAGGCGTATTAGTGGATAAAGAGGATTTATCTTGTTAGTTGTTTAGATGTAGCATGCCAGGCCTGTTTGTTAGACGTTTGAACAAGTAGAGAATAGGACAGGGTTCAAACCCAACCCATATGCTTTTTTCTTCACATTTTTCTTATTTTTTGGTAATGTTCACCGTTGGTGACAGTCCGGTGGCGGTGGCGGTAGTCGGGTGGTGGGTGGTGACATGCATGTAGATGAGGTGGTAGAGGGTGGGGTGGGGGTTGGGTGAGAATGGGAATTATTTTTTATTTTTTTAAATAATAAAGGCAATATATATATATATATATATATATATATATATATATATATATATATATATATATATATATATATATAGAGAGAGAGAGAGAGAGAGAGAGAGAAATGTTCAAAATGGCCTCTATGACTTGAAAAAGACTATTTTTGCCCTCATCGAAATGCACTTAATAAAAAAAAAAACAAACAAAAGCTAACAAAGTTAGGGTTAAGGATTAAACATTAAAAGTTTTGAAACCATATAGACTAACGTTGATGACAAGTAAAAAGATTAAACTTGATTCTTTTAGAAACCATATGGACCATTTTTTAAAATTTGTCTTGTAGAAATTTTAAAAATACCATTCACATAGCAAAGAAAACTTTCATTGATGTAAAAATAATGCTTGTTTAAAAAAATACACGTAGTTTTCATCGGTGGATTTATTATTCACTTGTGAAAATCATAATATTTTTTCAAGAATATGTTTTTTATGTTGTTTGCTTTTGGGATAGATCTCAAAAAATCATTTCATTTGGTGTAGAAATAAGGGTTAATCTAAACTTTTTTTTTTATATTTTGTGTTTTTTTTGGATTAAACTTCAATTATTTTTTTCTGAAAAAAACCTTTATTTTTTTCTTTTTGTTTTTGATTTGGCCCTTTTAGTCATTTTTTGGCAAAAAGAAAATAAAATTTGAGGGTTTTTTAGAGAAAAATTGAAAATGTTGAGGGTTTATTTGGAAGCAATTTAGAATGTTGAAAGTTTTTTTTTAAAAAAAATACAAAATTGAGGGCTTTTTCGGGACAAATGAAAAATATACAAAGTTTTTTCAGGCAAAAATAATATTTGAGGTTTAATACGGAAAAAACAATAAAATATACCTAACACCCGTTTAGTAGTTTGGTTCTTTCGAATTTAAATTTAATAATTAAGGTTTGGGATTTCGACTAGGCCACGACGTGTTGATGAAATGAATACGACGTGGTAGCCCGGTTCAGGACAATGCGCACCTGTGAACCTCCACGATGTGGCGGCGATTAAGGTTCAAAACCCTAGATTCCAGGATTAGTGCCCTGTTTAAAGCCAATAACTTCTAGGGCTGCCTCATTTGGCAACCTCTATCTTCTGAAAACAATCTTCATCCAAACCCTGGCCTCTTTTCATATATTCTAAGAGTGTGACACCAATTTGTGTAGCTCGGAAGAACAAGTAGTCCATCTTGTGGTTTGGGACTTTGGTTTTGGCTTAGATTTAGCATCTTTATCTCATTTCTGACCTTGTGGATGTATAAAGTCTCAACCTTATTTATTATAGCTTTAAATCTTGTGTTAGGTCATTTTATAAGCTTTTGAGTCCTAATATTCTTGTCTTTGGAGTTTTGGTGAACTCGTGTAACACCTGGTCCTTAAGGTAAACTTCTTTCCTTATTTAAAAGCGTAATTTTGGAGTTTTGGTTATTACGTAGGGCGTAACGCAGCCTCCTATGGGCTGCATAGGAGGGAAACTGGATGTGGGGGCTTAATGAGCTACGACTTGCGTAGCTTGAGCTACACAACATGTATCAACCCATAATCAAAACCCTAATCTAGGGTTTTGACCCATATTTAAGGACTCTAAAACCGTTGAGGACCCTTCCATCATCATCCTCCATTCTCAAACATTTCCTTTGAAACCCTAATTCCATTTTGGTTCATTGTGAGCTTAAAGAGTGCTTTTGGGTGCTTTTGAAGAAGGAAGAGGGTAGTGACGTTGCTTAGTAGCTTGAATCAACCTTGGGTCTGGAATTTCTTTTCCCTCATCCATCTCTAGGAGGTATAAAGTCTCCACCTTTATGAGTTTTGATGATAGATCTAGTTTATGCTTAGAATTCCCATGTTTTATCCCCATAACTTTGGTTGTTTTGAGTATAAGCTACTCTATGACATTAAGGTATCATTTCCAGACATATGGGAGGGTTCTATGTCATAAAAATGGGATCTTGGCCATTTTCAATCATCCATGCATGAGTTTTTGATCCTTAGAAGTTGTTATGAGATTAGGGTTTGTCCTTGAGCTTTGGTAATCCATGCAAATGCACAATTTGAAACTTTATCAGTTAGGACATTTATTAAGACCAAATATGAGAGTTGGACGTGATACCTTTTTATAACTTAGGCTACGCAACGTGTAGCCCTATAATTGCCCATTTTTTCTGCCTTAGGCTCTACGCAGGCGTAGAGCTGTTACACATGGCATAACATGGCTGAATGTTGAGTTTTGACTTCTTGACCGTTGATCAAGTTTGACTTTAGGTCATTTGGGGTATTTTGGGTAGTAGATTGTGGCTTGGTCCCTGTTTGTTGTATAGGTGACCTGTACAGCCAATATTTGGAGCAGTGATCGGTTCAACTATCTTTCAGACTTTGAGGTGAGTTTCCTCACTGTACTCATGGTTCGAAGGCACTAATGTCGGCCCACTAGGTTGTGTTATGTATCCTAGTATATAGGATGATGCTATGTGGTAGTAATCTGTTAGATTGGTAGATCTGTATGATTACATGTATTTGCTTGTTATATGTTTATCTGTTGCATATGTTGACATAGTGTGGTTGAGTTGATGCAATACTGTTTTTTACGGAAGCCAACAAACCGGGGTGCAATCTAGACATAAGATGAGGGTCAGGAGGGCAATCCAGACTTATGTCGTGGGCTCGGGATCAATCCATACATAAGTTGAGGGCTAGTAGGGTAATCCAGACTTATACTGTGGGCTCAGGGGTAGTCCAGATGGATTACTGTGGACCCGAGTGTAATCCAGTCGGATGACTATCGACCCAACATGCTTGCTTTTATATGTTTTGTGTGTAGGGTATTTTGGGGGAAACTCACTAAGCTTGGGCTTACAGTTTGATTTCATGTTTGTATGTACATCAGATGATCGGGGAAAGGAAAAGGAATGACACATCATCCTTGGATATTTTGTTGATAGACATTTTTGGGATATTCTGATTGATAACTATGTCTTTTTGTAAAAAAAATAAATTGAATGATTTATGACTTATTAAATGATTTTAAAAATGAAAATTTTGCTACGATTTTTGGGACGTTACAAGTTGGTATCTGAGCCTTGGTTTGAGAGAATTGAGTGAACACTTGTGGGATTCTTGACTCAAACTAAGGTTCTTCAAAATAATTTTTCAAAAATTAACTCTAAAAAGAATGACATAAAGAATGCGATATGTACAATCTGCCAGAGCGAAGGAAAGTATTCCCCGAGATACCGATAGTTGTTTTGTATATTGATGATGAGATAGAATTGCATGCTAGTTTGTAGGCCAGGGATCTTCAGGAATTGCATGTTAGAATTGCTTGATCTATGATGTCTGATAGCCTAGGAGAATTTCTTAATATGCTATATGGAACTGACATCATTAATGTGGTTGCTTAGTGTGTGCATCATAGTTATGTATAACTAAGATTTTATAGCCTGAGAATGTTTGATAATAGCCTTATTTCATGTTCCTTGTTTGGTTGTGGTCTTAGGGTAGAATCAAGTATTCAACTATCTTTCGAATGCAGTGTGATGTATGATTAGCATACACGATCGGATGCACGGTTAGTGGAAGTTTCATTAGTGAGTGTGGTTTGTAGAAAGCCATCATAAGCAATGATTAGCCACCATTGAGAGAGCGATTATAGGATGTATGCGTATCCTAGTTATTGGGCTTTGTGGGCGGGTGTAACACTTGGTCCATATATTATTTATTTCTCGAAATATTGGAGTTTTTGTGGGAACTTGACGAGTTAGGGAGCTCCAACTCGTCGTCTCGAGAATTTTGTGTCCACGGGTTTTAATGTTTCAACTCGACGAGTCGGGGAGTCCCAACTTGACGAGTTGGCGGCTGTGGAGGAAACCCTAATTATAGGGTTTGGCACCCTTTTTAAAGACCTTAACTCTCGTGGCTGGCATCTTTACCAGCCTCCTTGTCCAGAAAACCATAATTTCGTGTGTTATCCTTCAAGGTTGAGTCTGTGAGCTAGTAGTGAGCTTGGAGAGTGGGTTTTGGTGTTCTTTGGAAGGGGCTTGAAGATTGAAGGTGCTTGGTCTGGAAGGAAGGCTTTGGATCCATAAACTCTCCATTTGTTGCAGTTCTTTTGAGGTAAAAAGTTGACATCTTGCCTTGTATTCATCCATATCTCTTTGTTTGAAGTTTTAGCATGATTTTGGGATTTTGCTTGGGTTGTCCAAGATGTTGAGGTTTCCAGGCGTTAATAAGTTAGATCTGACCCCTTGATTACTCCTCTTGACTTAAATTTGCAAACTTTATTAGTTTCTATGTCCCATTCATGCAATACGTCCCTCACTAAGTCTCCATTAAACTCTAGAGAGCATTTCTAGCCTGTATGGACGTAAAGTTGGAAAATTTACGTGAGTTTCCAACTTTGGACTTCAGATCTGTGTTTTGGGTCTATGTTGTGAGAGTTTAAGAGCTTAATGGGATAAGACTCACTCTAATGAGCCGAGGGTTTGAGTTTTGCTCTTTATGGATGGTTCTTAAGGGTAAAGTTGGAAACTTTACCCTTCTAGACATCATTTTGGAAGAGATCTGAGATTGGGAGTCCTTGGTTTCGATGGAAACAACATAATGCAGTAAGAGGTTGAATTTTTGGTCAACTCGGCGAGTTCATTGGTGAACTCGACGAGTTGATGGGAGTTTTCCCGATCTGTGCAGTGAGAGGAGAAACTCGACGAGTTGAAGGACAACTCGGCGAGTTGGGTTGACTTGGACCGTTGACTTTGACTTTTGATTTATGACTTTGAGCAAGTTTGTCCCAAGGGCTATTTGTGGTAATCTGAATTGTAATTAAGGGAGGCATGTGCTTAGGGTAAGGTGTTGGATTAGGTGTCTAAGCCCATAAGTATAACTACTATGTAGTTCACCCGATAGTAGCATGGTCCTTTTGGGTTG